CCCCCACATGAAAATGAAATAATGAAACCTGTCCCGTCAAGATGCTCTTTAATATGGTTCCATATCTCGGGCCTGGATGTTTCACCTCAGGAGCTGCCACTCCATCTCTGTCAAGCTGTCAGATGCAGTGTGTTTGCGCTTGGGCTGAAGCCGAGTTGCAATTCAAAGTGGATTAACTGTTTGGGCTGCTTCCCTCCCCCTCCCCGCTTCCAATTCCACTTGGGTGGGTTCTGGCCAAGCAGAATGTGGTTTTTCTCTCGTGGTTTCCATATTCAAGAGGCCGAAGCACAGAGTTAGACACCTGATGGGCTGATTCTGCTCTCGCTGGGGTAAATCCACCGCAGTCACTGCAACCCCATTAGTGTGAAAACAGCAAGAGCAGAATCGAGCCCCGGCAGCCTCACTCCAGCATCTCTTCTGCCCACTGTATCCTGCCTTACTCACACCCATCCAACCCCATGGGCCCTAAGAATTCCGTTGGAACGCTGGCCAAGCCATTGATTACTATCCCCCCCTCTTTTGATACATGCCAGTGAGCCTTTTGCCTCCTCCGGGGACGTTGAGCCAGACCCTCCAATGGTATAAATGGGCACAATGGATGTGCATTAATTGACTCCAGCGGAGCATCTGGCCCCATGTTCCTGTCCCTCCCTCTGTATGTCGTTCCTGGAGACAGCCACACAGTCAAAAAGTTTTTGGTGCACGAACTTGATTGCATTTGGGGTGGGGATGGATTTGGGGAGGCAGCTGCAAAGGGGCCATCAGGCTTCTGGGGTCAGTGCAGCGGTTGGGTCTATCCAGGTTCATAGACTGGGTCCATCAGTGCAAGATCTGACTTAGACCTAGCCTGTTAAAAGGCACATCCCAGCCAATGGCTAGGTGAGAGCTGAGAGAGTGGGAAAGGAGCATGGGGTGTGTGTGTGTTTTGTTTAAATCCTAACAGGGCCTAGGGATAGAGACCCCAGTGGAAGCTGAAACCAGGTACGTTGGAGGCTTTGCTAGTAGGCAGGACAAAGCACTTGAAAGAGTTGGCCACCGCGGCGCAGTCTCCTTTGGTTGAAGGTGCACACCCACAATGGGTCCGTTCAGTGCGTAGCCTAGCCGTGCTGCCAGATTCCTCACGGGCTCTCACGTTGCAGTATCCACGGATAACACTTTCTACCCTCTCCGGTGGGCTGAGACTCCGCCCCATCTTGGCGGATGATGACCTGGCCTTGGTTATATTGGCAGGCCTACAGCAATGCGGTACACCTGGGCCCTTAGGAGACCACACCTGGACCCTTAGGAGACCCCACCTGGTGCAGAATGCTGCGGCGCATCACGTCCGTCCTCCGTGGTCTGTGCCGGTTCCCTGTAGGATAGCGAGTCAACTTATCTTCAAGACTCTGCATGGCCTGAGCCCAGGATAGCTAAAAGATCAACTAAAGCTCGGGGATGAAGACCATGTCGACAACTTTACTGCTCTGCCACAAAGGAACTCTCGGTGATACGGGGAAAGCTCTCAGAACTTCCTCTGGGGGCCTGTCCAAGCCAGTGCAACGAACTCCCCAGTCACTAAGGCCCATCACAAACCTCCCCACCTTCCTCTCCAAGCGCAAGATGCGTTTCTGTGACCTGCCTTCTCTGCCATAAGCATATAGCAAGGGGTGTGTCTCTACCAAGTTAATAAAATCCAAACCAAAACACTCCATGCATATGCTTCTCCCCTCCTGGCCTCCCCCCAGAGAGGAGGAGGGGACGGACATGTGACAGATGTTAGTCATATATACTAGTGGACAGTGCTGAGATAGTACAGGAATGGGTGCTGGAGAAGAAGCTATAGAATGGATTTGTACCTGCAGGCAGGTGTTTAGAAAGTGGGGTTCAGGTCTCAGCCACCCCGTCACATGGATTCCAACGTGCCCTGCTGTTCTGTGGCCTCCTTTAAACAGGCCCGCCAGGTTCTTTACCAGAACTCTTGAATTCTGACAATGCCCCTGTGGGCGACAATAGATCCGTGTTATCCCCGTTTGATAGGTGAGGCGCAGAGACAGGAAGTGGTTTAAAGTGCTCATGGTCTTACTGCAGGTCAGCGGCAGCGCTGGGAATGGAATCCAGGCGTCCTGGCTCCATGTCCTCTGCTCTACCACTGCTCCAGCACACCCCCTGCCGCAGTGCTGCAGCGCCGGCTCGGCCTGGGGCCTGAGGCCTTGCTTCCACTGGAGGAATGTCAAGCTGGGAAACTGCCATGTAGGTTTTGAATGTTAATATCCCCATTCGCCCAAGGCTTTTAGCACCAGCCTGGTAGCTCACCTCCCAAACGGGGTGAAACAGGCCTCTTAAAAAGTTTCCCCATAACTTTCAGTTTAGGTTTCTACAGCAAACAAAGGGAATCTGCAGATGTTTGCACTTCCCTGGGCTGTTTGCCATGGACAAACTCAGCTTAGGAGGGTGAAATTTGCATCCATAAATGCAAAAAGCCCCATGTGTGCCCCTCAGAGATTCCAGTCTCCTCCCATGCATGTTAACAAAGCTCCTCTGGACTGCAGAGAAAGGTGGGGTATTCTCTCAGTGAAGCAATTATTACAAGGGGGGGACATAACACAGAGCTGCCACTAGGGGGAAGTATTGTCTAAGCGATTGTGCATCTTTCCGTTACCCCCTGCAGAAAACCAAGGACCCATTCTTTGTCTTCAGCTGCAGCGTTGGTTAAAAAATGAAATCAAAACTTCAGAAGAACATAACTTTGTATTTTATCTTTTGAAACAATTTAACATTACTCAGTCAGAGAATCACTTCAACTGGGCAAAGTACATTTAAAATCTAACTTTTCTTTTCTTTCTATTTCAGGGTAGCAGCCGTGTTAGTCTGTATCCTCAAAAAGAACAGGAGTACTTGTGGCACCTTAGAGACTAACAAATTTATTAGCGCATAAGCTTTCGTGGACTACAACCCACTTAGCCCATGAATAAATTTGTTAGTCTCTAAGGTGCCACAAGTACTCCTGTTCTTTCTTTCTATTGTATACCTCTCAAATTTTCCCTAATACATTTTTTTATATACAACTAAAACACCCCTCTCCCCTTATGAACGAAGATCTGGCTGTGTTGCTGCAGAATGAGGGAAGTATCACAAAGTAATAGTTTGTGAAGCTATTAAATGAGGCGAGATTAATTGTCTTCCCCTAATGACAGCATGGCAAATCCCGGTGTTCTAATTCCACCTTTTCTGCTGTATACCGTAAAAATGTGAGAATCCCAGACTTGCTCAGTAAATTTGGGTCTCAGAGGATGGGACAGTTGGGTTGTAGCTCAGGGATTGTTACGTCTGTTCTTTGCTTGTTCTAAGTGGCTGTTAAGAGGGCCATGTAAAGAGCTGCTTGCATGAAGCCATTGGCAAGGCACATTCGATTGGTCCTACAAACCCCTTCTCTTGAGTGCCCTGTACTGGCACCGTATCTGTTCATTTACAGGTCTACATACCTCTCTCATTTAGAGAGCACGCTCATCTCAGTGGGCAGAACTTGATATGGGACCCTCCAAATCCCAAGGGAGGTGTTTCTGCCCCCTGCCTACCGTCGGGCACTGTATTTTATCCTGACAAGCTTCATTTGGTGCCGCTCCCTTTCAGGGACTCCTGCAGCGTCATGTGCCGCTGTAAAAGCGTCAGGCTTGCCTGCCGTTGGCCTGAGTTATGCTGGCTAAACAGCGAGGACAGCCATTGGTTCCCTCCACATGGCAGGGAGGAAAGGCCCCATAATTCTTGCTGTCGTTAAAATTAATTGGGTTTCTTCTGCCATGGATATTCATAGTAAAACGCTCATAAAATCTCCACTTGGCTTAGGATTTATTGCTTCCCCCTTTAGAGAACCTTTTTAAAGAGGTGAGTCTAAAAAGGCTGAGATAGCGGAGGTCTCACCCGTCCCGTTCTGCAGGCCCCTGTTCCCGAGAGCGGCCCAGAGCCTGCTGGAGAAGAGAAGCTGTGAGCAGGGTGTTAAATGGAGTGCAGGAAATGTCTGTCAGACCACGGGCCCAGCGCATCTGCTACTTGGCCTTTGATAGCGGCTCCTGCCTTGTAATGGGCTTGAGTGATGGGGCCATGAAACCGGACTGCATGTGTGTTAGCATCTTCGAGTTGATCCTAAACCTGAACCCCCAGCCTTGAACTTTGGGCAAGTTTGAGGCTAGAGCCCGATCAACACTTTGCAGCTTCGGACTCATCCTATAATGGGTCAAAGTGTAACACCGCCCCCCCGCCCCCCAGCACCCCTGAACCTTGGGGAACTTGCAGATCAAAGCCTCTCGGCTCTGATCCATCACTCCGTACAAGCCTAGTAGGGTATGTCTGCACTGCAATAAAAGACCCATAGCACATCACTCAGGCTTGTGCTGCGGGGCAGAAGGTCAGGCTTGGGCTGGAGCCCTGGCTCTGAAATCCAGCCGGGGGGGTGGGGCTCAGACCCTGGCTGAATGTCTACACTGCAATCTTCAGCCCCGAGCCTGAGGCCAAGTCAATTGACCCAGGCTCTGAGACTCCCCTTGGGACCAAACCCTGCAGGATGGGACCAGGAGCCCTGGATTCTTACCTAGTTTCTGAAACCCCTGTGGCGAGTCCCAAAAGAGGCTGGAGAGTCCTACCCAGGAGCCGGGACAAACCTTTCTTACACATTTAGACCCAGTGTCTCTCACTTCCACCCCATCTAGGACATGTAGGTGCAGCCTTACCCCTTTGTCCTGGGCTTCCATATTGTCCCCAGTAATGTCACCCCTCTGCAAGCAGTCACAGTTTTGGGGGGCCTTGCAGGTCTGTTTTCTATTGGAGAAGAAACCAGTGATGTGGAGTTAGGTATTTTCCTAGCGTAACTTGTTTGATTTACACGAACCCTGGAACGGAGCTGGTCGCCAACACCACGCAGGCAAGCCCCTGGTTCTGAACTCTCCGCCCAAACACCAGTTCCCAGGAGGCAACTCTCCTGGATGCTCACTAGCGATTAAGGCTGGGAGCAAATGCTCTTGCTGCTTGCAACAGCTCCCCCCCAAAAGAGAGACTCCAGCACAAAAGTAACAGCCCCACGCTCTCGCCGTTAGACCATGTTTGAGTCTAACTCTTGGCGCTCCTCCATAGGGCCTCCGGTCCTGGGCCCTTTTTCACCAGCAGAGTGAGAGGCACCTGTCAGGCTTTAATGACCCATCAGAGCAGCACGGACTAAAGAGCGTGGCTCAGTGCCTCTGTCTCCCTGTTGAAATATAGTCCGAGCTGACCCCTCTGCCCTTTGTAACAGCTCAGAAGGATGTCTAAAAAGCTGCCTTCCGTGGCTCCCAGCAAATGTGAAAAATCGGGACGAGGGTGGGGGGTAATAGGCGCCTATATAAGATAAGGCCCCAAATACCAGGATGGTCCCTATAAAATCGGGACATCTGCTCACCCTAGCCCCGTCTATCCTAGGTGGATGCAGGAATCCCTAGTTCGGAGTGCGGGCACATTCCCTGCTCACACCGGCATTGCTAGCACAGAGATCCCAAGTCTCTTGAGTCCCCCAGCGCTGGCTTTATGGCTATGCTTTCCTTCTGCCTTTATATTTTGGGATGAAATGAAGTGTCCATACCCTGCTCTGCACCTTGTTCCTGAGGTGTAGCCGGCTCTTTCTGTTCAGTGCTCCTCCTCCCAGCTCTGCTGATGCCACTCAGTCTTGACCCTTAGCCCCTCCCATAGGTGCTGGGACAATTTTTATCCTGGGGGTGCAGCAGCAGCAGCTCTGATAAGCACGCGGAGTCCCGGCATCTGTGGCCCCTCCTGCTATTCCAGCCCTGGCATCTCTGCAGAGGCCACATGGTCTGTTTTACTGTGATTTGGCAATGTGGACTAACGCTCACTAGATAAGATTACCAGAACAGTTTCACTTGTAACTTAAGCCTCATTTGAATGCCTGTCTCTGGCAGTAAGAAGGTTGCATGCAACCCCCGACCCCGCCCTCCCCCCACCTTACAGTCTCCTGTCTGCAGCCCTTACAACATGTGACTCTTGAATTCCCTTCCATCCTCGCCCATAAAAACGGGGAGGCTGATCTTTTAATAATCCCTTTTCCCTAACTTTTTAATAAAATCTCTGAATTAAAGGGGGGGAAAAAAACCCAAACCCTCTTCAATGTTTTATGGAAATCCCTTATTGCATGGAGCAGACTGTCTGTGTGTGCAATAAAATGCCTTTTACTGTCCACCTTATTCATAATGCATGATTTTATGTCCTGGGAAAATAGACTTTAGACTGCTATAAACTTCCACTGGCAGGAAGCCTTTGGACTAGGAGCTGGCATAGTATGGATGGAGCCTTCTAGCACAATCCATATCTATAGGAGTTAGGTACCTTGTAGTGGTGTCCCGTGGCGGCAGCTGTGTTACGGTAGCACCTAGAGGCCCAGCTGAAGCTGCAGCCACATTATGCTCGGTGCTGCAGAGAGCCAGTGGGGATGCTGTCAACGCAGCGTTAAGTCGAGTTATCTACACTCGAGTGGCTCCTCTTGTTAGCCTCGCGCGCTGCTAGCAGCCACACTGCGCACCAGCCCGCGAGCTGCTGCAAGCGTAGCTGGAGTTACTGCCCCCACTTGGGGGTGGCGGCCCGGCTTAAGGGGCACATCCCTTGGTTTGTAGCCCTGCGCAGACTGGGCTGCCCTAGGATGTCTTTCGCAGTGGATCGTGGGAGGACGTGTTTGTCTTTCCTGGGCACATGGGAGGAAATGGTGTCGTCCCAGCAACTCCCTCGAAGAAACCGCTTCTGGCTCGGCACACTGCAGATGTCTGTCTGCGACCTCCCTTCTAACCGGTGGGTAGGCGCAGCGCCTACTCTGAACAAAGTCTGGGGCTCAGGGCTGGCTTTGGCAACAACCCAGGTGAGTTTCAATTTTGGAAAAGGAGGCTGATGTGGGGCCCAAGACGCAGCGAAGGGCATTGCCATCGAACCAGAGACGGGGTTTATTATCCCCCTTTCACAGAGGGGAACTGAGGCCCAGAGACATCAAGGGACAGGTTTTCCCAAAGAGCTCCGCTCCCAAAGTCACTGGCGAGATTTTATCCCGTGCTGAGCATGCTTGAAAATCTGGGGTTTATCTATGGGCCTATATGAGAATGTGACCCCTGTGTGTGCCGAGCGCCAGCAAAGCTAGCCCTAAGCCTCAGCTCCCATAACCTCCTTTGAACCAGCCTAAGAGGTTTGCCCAAGATCACCCAGGAACTGAACCTAACTCTCCTGAGTCCTAGCCCACTGCTTTATCCACAAGCCCCTTCCTCCTGGAGCTCCCTCAGCTGTGGGAGAGAGGGGGTGTAACCCTGGTAACAACAAGACTTTCCTTCCTCTGCAGCCAGCCCTGGCCTTTCTCACTGGCTCCTTTAGAAACTCAAGACAAACAAACCTGGGTGTATAGAAACAGGAAAGGCTCCAGAGCGTGCATCCTATGGGCAGCCAATCTGTACCCAGTAACCCAGATTTCTCCCCCAGGTGACTTTCCTGTTAGGACAGGGCTGGATTCATGAGCAGATCTGATGCCAGCTCTGATAAGGAAGGGTCTGGGGTTTGTCACTTTGTTGGGAAATCGGTGCTCTTAGAAATGAGGCTTTAGCTTCTGAAAGTAACTGACCCCTCTAGGGGGTTTGCCGGCTGCCTGGACAATGCTACAGGGGCAGGAGATTTAAGAGCATTGAAGAAATGGAAGTGACTTTCATAAATAAATAAAGCTACACAGGGCTCTCTGAGCATGGCTGATGGACAGCCGCAGCGCACACAGGAAGGGGCATTTTCTAGTGGTTAGAGAGCAGGACTCCTGGAGTCTCCTCCCAGCTCTGGGAAACGTGCTCTAATGGTTAGAGCAGGGGACAGGGAGTCAGCTTTGGGGCGGGAGAATACGTTAATGCATGGTGTAGAACTGAACACCAGGACTCCCAGCTCTGCTACTGTGTGACCTTGGAGGAGTCACCGCCCCGTGCCTCAGTTTCCCCATCTGTAACAGGGGGATTCTGTATTGAATTGCACATAGAGGGTGTCAATCGCTTTCCTAGCTAGGCAATATGGGGGGATAACTTACCTACCTCCCTGGGAAGGGGCTGAGGCTTAATTAATGTTTGCCAATTGCTCTGGGAACTGCTGCTAAGAGGGGCTGGGATATTAGCAGTGCCTGCCTATGTTTGTGAATGGCAAAGCTTTTTCTGTGGGAACATCTGCTCAGCCAGAGATAAAACACTGGTTAATTTCGCTGTGAGCTGAGCACTCTGGGGGCACCGTGCTGAGCCCTGTGGAAAAGGAGCTTCTGGACAAGTAAGGGGTGAGCTTGATCAGCTCCCAGGGGACCACCCTCCAGGTGTCCTGGCTTAGAAAGCTTTGGGAGGGGGCTACAGAGGCAGGGGGGCTGGCTGCAGAGTGTCGGGGGCGCGGGAAGGGGAAACGGGAAGAGGGAAACCTAGAACTTCTGACCCCTTCCACTGCTGAAAGTCACCTAGAAAGGGAGGTAAGTCTGGGGATCCTCTGCCAGAGGCTCTCTCAGCTGTCCCCATTTCCGTCCATGAGCCTCTGCCCTCCCTGCCATCGGGATGGGAACCCTACACGGTATTGCCAATGCCCAGTGTTCAAAAACCAGGAGTCGGGCTCACCATAAATCACGAGACTGGCTTCAAAATCATGAGATGATGTAAAGAGAATAGATTTGGCATTCTTTTTATTTGCCTTCTGCTTTGTGAGCCTTTAGGGTCACATTTTGAAGCTTTCTCCACAGCCATGAGGGCTAGAAACGTACTTTTTTCTTTAAGAAGGAAGGCTGAAATCATCACTTGACTCCAGGAGCTGGGGCTTTAAGGAAAACAAGAATGATCGGGAGACTCAGGACAGACAGCAACGCCACCTACGTTACCCCTTATTAAACTGAATCCCTGCTGCGTCTCCCAGCTCCCCCGTTTAGCAGAGAGGGGCTAAATTTGCCAACTTGGAAGGAAGCTTCAGCACCTTCTCCACCCAGAAGAACCCACTTCCCACCCACCCACTAGCTGCCTGTAGACATTCTGCGCCATCCACTCTCTCAGCTGGTGCTCTTGCTGGGAAGCCCCTGGCCTGGGATAGGAACTGAACACAACAGGGATGGGATCGTGGTGAACCCCTTCATTGGGGCCTGCACTGACGCTGCCTGGAGATTTCCTCCACAGCGATCGCCCCCCTTGGGGAGCACGTGGGGTCAAACGTATCCCTGTCTGACGTAGATCAGCTTTGCTCCCTTGACGTCAAGGGAAGCTTTGCTCACGTGCGCCTATGGCCTCTCTCAACAGATGAGGGAAGGTTTGATATGCAGCTGGATTCCTAGGACTGACACTGGGGCAGATACCTAGCCCTGCGGCTCAATCTCTGTGCAGACCACTTGGAGCAGTTTCCTCACTAAAAAGAAAACCACAGCCCCAGTGGCGGGGGGGGGGGGGTGAACTCTCTCTAGGGGGTGGGACAGAGAGAAGGAGGCTGCCCACCCAGGCTGCCTTGGGAAGGTCTGTTTCTTCTGGCTTCTCCTGACAAACTGCGGACCAGGTGCCTTTTCCTGCTGGCTGCACCGGGCTGTTGACCGTTAAGCAGAACTCCCCTCTGAAAGCTCAGATGTCAGCGGCTCAGGACGGCCTGTGGTTATTCGCTCCCTAGTGCTGAGTCCTTCCTCTGCAAATGTGTCTCCTGGGGAGTGTTACTGAGTGCGTTACACGCCTCAATCCGGGCCAGCAGCTCTGGGTCTCAGGGAGGTGACCTGCTAGCCCTGTGTGGGCCGTGTCCCTTGTGGCAGCGCGGGGTAGAAAAGGGATTCTCTCTCTCCGGACTGCAGGAGACAGACAGACCCTGTGCCTCTCTCTGGCTGTGCTGCCTAGTGTCATCATGTGGCGTCTCCCGAGGCTGGCACCCAGGTGACATAGATTGGAAGGGAGTGTTCACGGGATGGGCAAAAAAGGCTTGCGAGCATTAGCACCCCCTGCTGGCTGGCTGTGTTTCCCAGACCGCTATCCGGTCTGACCTCCTGCACAACCCAGGCCAGAGGATTTCACCCAGTTATCCCTGTATCGAGCCCACTGACTTGTTTGACTAAAGCATCTTCCAGAAAGGCAGCCAGTGTTGATTTCAAGACTTCAAGAGATGGAGAATCCACCGCCGCTCTCGGTAGCGGGTTCCACTTGTGGGCACCTCCTTGTTAGAAGTGCGGGGCCTTATTGCTGTTTGCCTTTAGGAGAGGAGGGGCAGTGGTTCTGTGCCAGTTGATCCCTCTTGAACCGGGAGCGCAGACACTTCTCGTGCTGCCCGGTGTGGAGCGAAGCTGTTACAGTTCAGGAGCTCTGGCCCCCCAGCCCGGCTTGGCTCAGGGGAGCAGACAGGCCTGAGCTGACAGGGGATGCTAATCAGCTGGCAGTAATGTACTTGTGGTTGTTCATTACTTTGGGTTTCCTGACATTTGGGTCAGTTAATGGATTTGTCTCTTTCCCTCTCTGTATTCCTCCCCCTCCAGTGTCTGCCTGGCCTAGTTGTAAATTAGCCCTTAATTTCCCACATGTGTCTTCACTTAACTAGCAAACTCCACCCCGCCCTGTAGACATTTTTGGGTGAGTTTGGTATTCATGAAAGTGAGGGACTAAAAGCATTGGATTAAAGCCAGGCCCAGTGTGGGCAGCTGCTGGGAAAGCTCCTCCCCCACTGCCCCAAATCACACACAGCCCTGCCAGTTGCAACAGCCCCTGCTGTTTCGGTCCTGCCCTGCCTCCTCCAGCTCTGACAATGCCCCTCAGTCAGGACCCCCTAGCCTAGAGTGACCAGATGTCCCGATTTTATAGGGACAGTCCCGATTTTTTGGGTCTTTTTCTTACATAGGCTCCCATTGCCCCTCATCCCCTGTCCTGATTTTTCACATTTGCTGTCTGGTCACCCTACCCTAGCCCCCCCGGCTATTCCGGTCTTGGGTTTCCTGCGCATACCCAGCTCTGCCAACGCCCTTCAGTCCTGACCTGCTATCGTCTTTGCCTGCTACTCCGGTGCTAGGCCCGTTCCTAATACTCCTTCCAGAGCTTCTGTGTCCTGACTGCAGCCCCCCTGCTATTCCAGTCCTGAATCTCTCCCTTCCCCCCCGCTCTGCAAATGCCCCTCAAACCTGACCTGCCTCACCCCGGCCGTTCCCATGCTAGGCTCCCACACACACAGCTTTGCCAATGCCCCTCAGTCCTGACCCACAGCACCCCCTGCCATTCCATTCCGTCCCCTCCCCGCGCAGGCACCTCGCTCCTGACCTTCTGCAGCCCTGGCTCTCGCAGTCCTGAATTTCTCCTGAGCAAGCTGCCAATCACGTCCCAAATCTGCAGTCATTTTATGGTGCAGATCAACTCCTCTAGGGGCCGAGGTTCCCCCCCTCCCCCACTCAGACATACTCATGTCCTGCTAAGGATTTCAATCCAGGTTTGCAAAAACTCCCAGCCAGTCATAAGAGCCCCCTTTTAACTGTTGCGTCTAACAGACAGTAGCCATATGTGTTATTAAAGAGACAGATTCATTTCTGTGCCACATTTTCGGTACCATTCAATTTTGTTCTCTTTTCAAAGCATTATCACTTTATTGGTTAAACAGGGAATTTCTTTCTTTCTTTCTTTCTTTCTTTCTTTTTCCCCACTAGCAAAGCTTTTTCCTGCTCTCTGGACCAGCTCCGCTGACGCTAGAGCAGAGAGGTGTAAATTACACTTCCTGACAACCAGTCCTGGCCCCTAGAGTAGTGGAAGGTTGGAGATTTGAGAACTGCCATCATTAAGGTGAGTAGGGGGTGTTTTTCTTAATTAGCATCGTTACAAAGAAAGAAAGAAAAATTCATACAACGTGTTTTTCTTCCAATTACCAAGAACTAGCAGAGGGGGGAAAAAAATCAAGATATGGAAAGCTTTGGGTTTGATGGGGGGACACAGAGAAAGTAAAACAGAACCTCATAATAAAGTAAACATTCGTCGCTGTCAGGGGAGACGGCTAACAAGGAGAAAAGATTACCGGGGCTGTTTCTCGTGTTCTCGATGCTTCTCCTCTTACAAGCCATTTTCCAGTAAATTTGATCCATGACTTTCCTGAACGCTTTGGCGGAGCTGGGCAACCTATCTGCCCAGGTGCAACCTAGCAGAGCCTTCTCCAAACCAGCGTTGTCTAGTGGTTAGAGAAAAGAACTGGGAGTCAGGACTCCTGGCTTCTACTCACAGCTGTGGGAGGACAGTGTGGGGTTTAATGGTTAGAGCAGGGAACAGGGAATCAGGACACCTGGGTCCTGTTCCCAGCCCTAGGAGGGAGTAGAGCAGATTTGGCAGCAGGACTCCTTAGTCCTATTCCTGATTGCCACTGACTCACTGCACAACCTTGGACAAGCTGGTTAGCCTAAATTTTCAAAACTGGCCATTCATTCTGCAAGCCTTAATGTTGGGGTCTTAGCCGGACACCCAAAACTAATGGCCACTATTTAAAATATTGATGTAAACCTCTCATTGCCTCTGTGTCTGCAGCCACAGGAAAAAACAGATTAATCCCAAGGGATGTTGTGAGGCTTAAAGATGTATTAAGTATCATTATTAATGTCTCTGCGTAGGGGCCTGGTCAACGGGAGTCTTTCCATTGACTTCCTGGGGTTTGGATCAGGCTTTAGCTGCCGCTGGTACCATAGGCAGTGAAAATGTGCTGAACAATTGAGAGTCCCTGCCCCAGAGAATTTACAGGATAAACCACAGCTGCTGTAAGTAGGTGCAGATCTGCGCAGGTTCCGTGGTGTTGCACCCTGGCACGCCAGGTCTGAATTTGGTTCCCGTCTAAGGCACCAGCTGGCCCAAGGCAGAGTCCTGCAGATCTGGACAAAGGCGGGGGGGTTGACCCTGATAGCTGGAATTCTGGGGTTGGGAGGAGGCACGTCTTGAGGAAGAAATGGAGGTCTCGGGGTGGCTATTAAATGACCAGGTTGTCCAAGCATAGCTAACGTTAGTGTGGAGCTGGAGATGCTGGGGCAGAAGACACTGGAGAAAGGCGGGCAGGTATGAGTAAGACCTGGGTCTTTTCCCCACTCCTGTGTCTTTCCAGAGAGGGTTTCCCAGTTGCTAACGCCGCTGTTTATTCCTTCGGGGTCTCGGGTTACCCTCTGAGCATCACTGCTGGATTTTCTGTATCGAAACAGAACAAAGTCCTGCCCTCGCCCCCACCCCCCATTGGAACCATTAGCCAAACTCCTGCTGAAGTCAGTGGGATGAGAGTTGGGCTCCAGCTCTCTGTAGCCCCCCAGGAGGAGGGGGAAATGGGGCAGGTAAGGGCTGATCGGCTGCACCAAAGCTAATAGGTGACTCAGCTTTCCGAGCAGCTGGTCTTCTGCCCTCAGCAAACCCTTGGGTTTCTGCCAGGGCAGGTTTAGGCAGAGACTGACAGGCTGCGAGGCCAGGACGATTATTTAGTCTGACCTCCACGGGCCAGGGAATGTCTCCCGGCGGTTCCTGCCTTGAGCCCCAGTCACTAGGGCGTGACCCAGACTGAATGTCGCTAGCCCCGTCCTACAGAGACAGAGGCCCAAACAGACCCGCCCCACCTCCAAACCGAACGGTTCTTTTAGGGACAGCCCCGCAAAGTGAGCTCCCCCCGCAGACGCGACCAAGCAACCAGCTCCCTTTGCAGCCAGCCCTGCAGCCTACTTTCCTGTATCCCAGCGAACGACTGCCCCAGAGTGAGCGTTTCCTCTCCTAATAGCGTCCCGCTGAGCTCGTGGCCCCAGCCCTCCTGCCAAAGGAACACCTCCGCTCAGCTGCCCCTAAACCTGCCCAGACCTGTAAAGCAGCAGTACCCTCCTTGTTCAACCCCAGCCCCACTGACTCCCCCAAACCCACCCCTCCTTCTGCCAACACCCCCACGCTGAAATCTGCCAGCAGCACTACCCCCTCATCCCACCTCCTAGCCCACACTGCCCAAATGTCCCAGCAGGACGGGCCTGGAATATACCGGGGTGACAAAGTGACACGGCTGAACTATTCAGGACTCCACTCCCTCAAAACCAGCCTTTGTTACAGTCCTCCTGGTTCAGCTGCCTTCATACGCCCCAGCTACCCCGGGGCCTCCCCCTCGGGTACTTCCTGCCAGCATCCATTTCCCTCACCCATTGGCTGGTGGGAAATTGCTACCACGCATACTTGTTTCCTCCCCCCCTTTGCACTGGGTATTAGGTTCCTTCCCAAGCTGTGAGCAGTTTGCTGTAGACTCAACTGCTCTTTACCCATCTGCTTGCAGAGCACTTAGCCCTTCTCCTCTGCATCCCATTAGCATTTCTATAATGGGAGCACCACGCAGCCAGCTCCGGGCCAGACCCATGCGCCTAGGCCTCACCCTGCTCCCCATCCAAACCATGTGGTGGCTGACCACCTCTGCGGGCTTCTCCCAGACCACAGGTTCAACGGTGATCGTGGGGGTTTCAAATACAGGTCTCAGACCTTTAGGGCTAACCAATATAGAGCAGGGACAGGCGGTATGGTCTAGTGGGTTCATCTCAGGGTATGGAGCCAGGACTGATGAGGTTCACCAAGGACAAGTGCAGAGTCCTGCACTTAGGATGGAAGAATCCCATGCACCGCTACAGGCTGGGGACTGACTGGCTAAGCAGCAGTTCTGCAGTAAAGGACCTGGGGATTATAGTGGACGAGAAGCTGGATATGAGTCAGCAGTGTGCCCTTGTTGCCAAGAAGGCTAATGGCATATTGGGCTGCATTAGTAGGAGCATTGCCAGCAGACTGAGGGAAGTGATTATTCTCCTCTATTCCGCACTGGTGAGGCCACATCTGGAGTATTCAGAGTAGCAGCCGTGTTAGTCTGTATCCGCAAAAAGAAGAACAGGAGTACTTGTGGCACCTTAGAGACTAACAAATTTATTAGAGCATAAGCTTTCGTGGACTACAGCCCACTTCTATGTGCACTTATATGCATCCGAAGAAGTGGGCTGTAGTCCACGAAAGCTTATGCTCTAATAAATTTGTTAGTCTCTAAGGTGCCACAAGTACTCCTGTTCATCTGGAGTATTGTGTCCAGTTTTGGGCCCCCCACTACAGAAAGGATGTGGACAAATTGGAGAGAGTCCAGCGGAGGGCAACGAAAATGATTAGGGGTCTGGGGCACATGACTTACAAGGAGAGGCTGAGGGAACTGGGGTTATTTAGTCTGCAGAAGAGAAGAATGAGGGGGGATTTGATAGCAGCCTTCAACTACCTGAAGGGGAGTTCCAAAGAGGATGGATCTAGACTGTTCTCAGTGGTGGCAGATGACAGAACAAGGAGCAATGGTCTCAAGTTGCAGTGGGGGAGGTTTAGGTTGGATATTAGGAAACACTATTTCACTAGGAGGGTGGTGAAGCACTGGAATGGGTTATTTAGGGTGGTGGAATCTCCATCCTTAGAGGTTTTTAAGGTCAGGCTTGACGAAGCCCTGGCTGGGATGATTTAGTTGGGGATTGGTCCTGCTTTGAGCAGGGGGTTGGACTAGATGACCTCCTGAGGTCCCTTCCAACCCTGATATTCTATGATTCTATGACTCCTGGGTTCTATTCACAGCTCTGCAACTGATATACTGTGCATCCTCAGGTAGGTCATAGGCCCTCCATGTGCCTGTTTCCTCATCTGTAAAATGGAGGTAATGGTACCTCCCCCTCTCCCCCGCCCCGGGGGGCGCTATGACCTTAATGTTGATTCAGAGTTGTGACTAGACCCCAGGAATCATAGGGATGTAAACGCACCATAAGACGCGCTAAGCAGTATTAATATTGTATTCTATTTTATGTCTGGAAATTGCCGATAGGTCAGAAAAAACAAGCAGCTCTAATGCGATTTCACCCGCAGCCAGGTTATTCTCCTGGTGCCTGGCATTCTTCGTCAGTCTCCGCTCACGTGACTCGCCCACCGAAGGGCGAAGTCAGTGGGTGTTCGCTTGGGTGAAAACGGAGCAGACGCCCCCGCGTTGGCCCTGGCGAACAGGAAATCAGTGCTGGCCTGGCTCGAAGAGTGACCATTCACTGGGCTGCGACCTGGAGCGGTTGGAAAGCGAAATAGTTATTATCGACAGCAGCATTATCGAAAGCACCAGCTGTTTTGGTGCCTTCGTTTTTGGGTGGCCTGGCCTGTTTCCTCTCCCCCCCCCCCCCCGAGCACTCACAACTCGAGTGGAACTCAGGAGAGGCGGGCGGAGGGGGGCACAGCCCCTCCACAACGAGGCCCTGGGGGGTTCCAGTCGGGTGCCCAGAATCAGTGACCACTTTTGAAAACATTGGTCTGAACCTCTTCAGGCGTTGTTGCTTTATTCAAATAATTAGATGCCGCCCGGACTCCTGGGTTCTTTTCTTGATTCTGCCACTGACTCACTGAGTGATCTTGGGCAAGCCACTGATGGTCTC